TCGCGTTTTAAAAACCTTGATGGGAAACCTAAAAGAAAAAATTCAAAGAAGACAATATCTGCTAGCGGTGGACTTGAGCCGTTACAAAGAATGATTTGAAAGGAGGTAGAAGAAGAAGCGTTGTTCTTACCAACTGAGCAGCAATGAAGGCAATAACTAGCAAGAAACCAGGGCATTCAACAAAGGACCAACTTCTTGACCTGGTGACGAAGATGAGACCTTGACTGATAATGCTCACTTGAAGATAGAGAGCAGAGTTCATCTCAGCAAGATCTTTAAGTGGCTTTACACCAAATGTTTTCTGCAGACAATGTTGACATGTTAGTATACAATGTCATCTTTGTGTTTAACGTTCAGGGCACGATATCGTTTTCTCACCGGGAAGAAGACGGTTTCGTTGGCGAGCCAGAAGAAAAACACGGTCGCGAAGGCCATGTATGTTCCAAGGACAACACCAGTAGCAAAAATTTCTTTGAGTCTCCATGAGTCAGGCACAGGTGATGGCTTCACTCTATCCTTTGAAATGGTCATGATGGTTCCATCGTTTAGGATGGCAATGATAAGGACCATAAAAGGCGAGAAATCAAACTTCCAGATGAGAGCAACAAGCATGAATCCCAACACGATACGTATTGTAATGGAAACTGCATAGATAGTGTAGTTTTTCATTCTTTGAAAGATGGCTCTACTGGTTAACACAGCACTCACAATCACACTTAGTCCTGGCTCGGTCAAGACAATGTCTGATGCGCTTCGTGCTGCGTCGGTTGCATCAGCCACAGCAATACCGATGTCGGCCCTCTTGAGAGCAGGAGCATCATTGACACCATCTCCTGTCATGCCACAAATATGGTTCCTCTCCTGAAGTCTCTTAACAATCTCATACTTGTGTTCTGCAATCCACAAATGACTAGTTTAGTTGGGGTGGGAGGGAGTCTCACGTTGGCTAATTTAGGGAATGATCATGGATTTATAAGTAAGGAATACATCTCCATTGGTATGAGGCCTTCTGGGGAAGCCCAAAGTAAAGTCATGAGAGCTTAGGCTCATAGTGGACAATATCATACCATTGTGGAGAGTTGTGATTCCTAACAATCTTTTGTGGTTAAAAGTATAACGTGATTACCAGGGAAGACTCCTGCAAACCCATCAGCCTTCTCAATGAGTTCATCAACAGGAATAGAAGCAATTGACTCATCCATGCTTTGGCCGAGCAAAGACAAGGACGGATACATGTTCGTGCCCATGCCGAGCCTCCGACCGGTTTCTTTGCCTATTGCAAGTTGGTCACCAGTGATCATCTTAACATTAACACCAAGTTCTAGAGCTCGGCGAATGGTTTCTGCACTGTCATGCCTTGGAGGATCAAATAGAGGCAAGAGACCAACAAATTCCCATGGTTCTCCAGCACTTTCCTTGTCCTTGTCTTTAACAGTCTAAACATGATTGCGAACAAGGTTTAGAGGTAATAAGAAAGCCTATTCATTCTATGAGTTAATGAACCTATTTTGTATATATATTCACACAATTCACCTGTCGGCCAACGGCCAACGAACGAAGACCGCGATTAGCGTAGTTATCGATAATGGTATGAGCTTTCTGCCTTACTTCACCTTTAAGGTCACAAAGGTCAATGATCTAATACCAAAATGACAGAGTTAGGCATCTAAAACAAATGTGGTTCTTCATAAGTGACATTGGCTATCAGACAACAACATTACCTGTTCAGGAGCGCCCTTGCTGCTTCTGTGCCAGTTACCATCTGTGTCGATGTAGGTAATGGCAGTACGTTTATCGACCGGGTTAAACGGCAAGAAATGCACCTCAGTTATTCCTGCTCTTGCCTTTAAGAGCCAAAGGGTTCAGTATACCACAAAAGGTTCAGTAAAAGGAAGCCATGAACATAAAAACAAAGCTGAGTATTAAACCTCTTTGGGGTCATCCAACATTTCAACAATGCAGGCATCGATGGCGTCTTGATTTTTGACTCTCGACGCTCTTGCAGCAAACAGCATGACAGCATCCTTGTCCATGTTTGGTACAAACACCTGCAGTCATAAAGGCACCAAGATGAGACATGATCAAAGCCAATGAGTGAAACTATGTGAGCTTGACCTCAATCAGGGACTTGTCTACTGTGAGCTTGTTCAGGGTGAGAGTTCCTGTCTTGTCACTGCAGAGGACATCCATCCCAGCCATCTCTTCAATGGCTGTCATCCTCTTGGTGATGGCACCTTGCTGCGAAAGGCGATGCGATCCGATGGCCATGGTTACTGAAAGAACCGTTGGCATTGCTATGGGAATGCCTCCAATGAGAAGCACCAACAAGTTGTCAATGCCCTCTCTGTATGCTCTGTGCTGGATAGCAAACATTACTAGAATCTCAATGACCATCCCGACCGCGATCGAGCATATACAGAAGTTTCCAATGGCCGTCAACACCTGATCAATGATAAACCATTAGAACCACAAATCTTGCCATGAATCCTATGTTACTTTGGTTATGCAAGAATCAAGAATTTTTCTTTTACCTTTTGGAAATGACCAACTTGGTTGGTGCTGTCCACAAGATGAGCTGCCTTTCCAAAAAAGGTATGCACTCCAGTGGCAATAACAACGGCCTCAATCTCTCCTTGCTTGCAGGTGGAGCCAGAGAACACTTCATCACCAGGATTCTTGGTGACAGGCAAAGATTCACCCGTAAGAGCAGACTGGTCAATCTTGAGAGGATCGCCTTCTAAGAGACGTGCATCGGCCGGGATAATATCTCCTAATTTAACGCTAATCACATCCCCTGGAACCAGAATTGCTGCCTCCTCTTCTTTCCACTTCCCATCTCTTAGAACCTACACGAGTTGAAAAACAACATTCTCATGAACCACGTTATCTTGTGTTAAATCGTCACTGAACTCAAAAGTTTAAGTTGATAGGTTAGAGTAAATTCAATCACGTACTCATACTTCGACACTCCCCTAACTTCAAGACCCAACAAATCCTTCCAATGACATCCAAGAGTTCGAAAAGAAATATCTCTGGTTAGGATTGTTAGGAATTACGACTCTCCACTATTATCCATTATTGTCCAAAATGTATTCCTTACTTATAAACCCATGATCAACCCTTTAATTAGCCGATGTAGAACTCCTCTCCCAACAATTATTAACAATCCTCTCCTCGAACAAAGTACACCATAGAGTCTCCCTTGAGATTTATGGAGCCCTCAAACAACCTCCCCTTAATCGAAGCTCGACTCCTTCTTTAGAGCCCTCGAACAAAGCACACCCTTATAAGTTAAAAGCATGACTCTAATACCATGTTAAGAATCACAAATCTCCACAATGGTATGATATTGTCCACTTGACTTTACTTTTAGATTACCCAAAAACCTCATACCAATGGAGATGTATTCCTTACTTATAAGCTCACGATCAACCCCATTACCCGACGTGGAACTCCTCTTCCAACAATTCTCAACAATGACACCATATTAAACCACCCAAAACTTCGAAAAGAAACGCAAATACCTTGGTTTTGGGTGCCAGACCAGCCATGAGAGCAGCAGCTGCATTTCCAGCATTGTTCTCTTCAATGAAACTAATGGTAGAATTAATGATCAACAACACAATAATCCCAACAAAATCTTGCCAATCCGGTGGTTTCCCCTGCATTTTAGACCAAAATCTAGCTTGAGTTTCCAAGTGTAAGAGAACGAACAAGAACAAATTTGGGAAAAATGTATGAGTACCCCTCCATTAGCCAGAGCAATGGCCATGATTGCCGCAGATTCCATAACCCATGATAGAGGATTCCACATAAACCCCAAGAACTTCAAAACCTTGCTCTCTTTTTTCTCTTCAAGCTTGTTAGGACCAAAAATTTGGAGTCTCTTTTCTCCTTCTGCTGTGCTCAATCCTTCTTTAGTGCATTTTAGTTTCTCAAAAACTTCCTCCACAGGAATCCGTTCCTACAAGAACCCACATAGAAAAACGAAGATCAAAACACAAAAAAAAACAGAGAATCGCAAAAACAAAACAAAAGAATCAATGAATCAATGTTCTTACTAGATCAACGTTCTCATTCTTGACATCTTCCAACGAAATATCGCCCATAGCTGACCAAAAACAAGCAAAACGAAGAAGAAAATCTCCAAAAACACTTGGAATATCCCTTCTTTCTCCGGCAGGCTCTTCTTATAGGAAATGGAGAAGGCGAGGGAGTTGATTCAAGAAACCCCATGATCGGCTGTGGGTCGCTAAATGAGTATACCTGCAGAGCTGGAGTGGTTACAGCCAGTGCCGAGCAGAGTTGGTTGATACCTTCTGTGGCTTCCCAGACCCTACGGGCTGTTTCAGTAACAGGTTGGCGGATGTGGCAATTAGCATGTAGCATTTTGTTCATGGTTCTGCTACAAAAACAAAATCATTTTATTTATTAAATGATAATTGAAATCAATGTATTGAGTTAGAATAAGTTTTGATGTGAATTTAAAATTTATGTTTTGGATGTATATTTATCAAATATAATTACTTCACTTATATATATACTTAATAAATATATAGATATAAGGGTCGAAGATAAATGATATTAAAAAATGAAAATTATTTATTAAAAATAATTTGAAAGGAATTATATATATAATAAATTGAAAGAAAAAAAAAAATCGGTGAAGAATTTTGTATCAATTCTTTAAAATAATAATAATAATTTTGTAGATATGAAAAATGAAATAGGAATCGAGATCGAGAATGAATTATAGAGTAAAAATACTAACATTTTTTTTCAGATGTTTTGAGGGTTTAAAATTATATTATTTTTGAACATGTTAAATTATTATTAATATTATTTATTAGTTATATTATAAGCACAGCCGGCTTCCAAACACAAACTTCCATACAAACAGAGCTCCAAGAACCCAATCGACAATTCCCACACATTATATATATACATACATACATATATATATATGTGTGTGTGTGTGTGTGTGTATGCATAACCAATATCACTCATTAATTCTCTGTTTTTCTAGTTTCAATCATGTCCCTCGCTCCCAAATTCATTCCGTCGCTGATTTGCTATGTTCTTCTACTTGCTGCTACAGAGCTCTCTGTTTTTGGCTCTGTTTCCGCCGTCGAATCATCACCGACGACTGCCGTTATCCGAGGTGGTTACTGGCTTTCATGGCTAGCCCAAACATTCCCTCCGGCGGCAATCTCCACCTCCCATTTTACCCATCTCTTCTACGCCTTCCTAGAACCAAATAACGTAACCTTTGAATTGACAGTCACTCCCAACGACGACCAATGGATGAGAAATTTCACCTCAACCATCCACGCCGCCGACCCTCAGATCAAAACCTTCCTCTCAATCGGCGGCGGTGGTTCCTCTGTTCCCATCTTCGTTGCTATGGCCGCTAACCAAACCTCCCGCTCCGCCTTCATCGCGTCGGCCATCTCCGTAGCCAGATCGTACGGCTTCGACGGTCTAGATTTGGATTGGGAATTCCCCAATTCCACCGACGACATGTCCCATTTGTCTTCGCTCTTCAAAGAGTGGCGTCAAGCAATCGAAACAGAGTCCTCCTCCAACGCCGACCGACCTCCGCTGGAGCTGTCGGCGGCCGTCTCGTACGCTTCCAGTTTCCCGTCGCCGCCTCGATCATATCCCGCCGACGCGATTACCGAGTACGTCGATTTCATTAGCCCGATGTGCTTCGATTACTTCGGGAAATGGTCGCCATCGGCCACAGGATCACACGCTCAGCTCTTCGATAAGACAAGCAATTTCAGCACCAGCTACGGCATAACATCGTGGATTGAGGCTGGAGTTCCGCCGGAGAAATTAGTTATGGGGTTGCCGGTGTACGGAAGGACGTGGCGGTTGAAGGACGCGTGTCATCACGGTATTGGAGCGTCGGCAGAGGGAGTTGGCCCAGGGAATGAAGGCGTTATGATTTACTCTGATGTGTTGGAGTTCAATTCGGCCAACGGCGCCACCGAGGTGTTCGATACGGCGTCGGTTTCGACTTATTCGTTTGCGGGGACCACTTGGATTGGGTATGATGGGCCGAATTCCATTGATGTGAAGGTCAAGTATGCGAAGGCCCATGGGCTTCGTGGATACTTTTTTTGGGCCCTCGGGTACGACAACAACTGGACCATTGCGGAAGCAGGTATATATTTTGTCTACTTTATTTATCTACCAAAATTATAAACATTTAACTTATTATTTTCCCTTTTTATTTTTTATTTTTTGCAGCTCAAAATGCATGGATGTATGGGTGACGTCATAATTTTAATTTAACATTTCCCGTAGTCTATACTGTAAAAGTATATTATTAAATTAGTCAATGATTTATTCTACCCAAAATAAAAATTTTATCTATTAAATATATTATTTTCTTTCCAAATAAAGCTTATAGATTGCATTGTGACTTAGATTAAATATCAAACTATATTAATATATAAATATTTGTTTTCGTGACGTATTATGTATATCATCTGTCTCACAGTTTTAAAACGCATCTCCTAGGGAGAGATTTCTACACCCTTATAAAGATATCACAATCCATTTCCTCTAGGACCCAGCATCCTTACTGGCATACCCGTCCAGTGTTTGGCTCTGATACCATTTATAACAACTTAAGCCCACCACGAGTATATATTGTTCGTTTGGTCCAAAGAGAACAATATTTACTAGCAGTGGGTTTGAACTATTACAAATGGTATCAAAACCAGTTATCAGACGGTGCGAGACATTAGTCGAAGTAGGGCTAGACTTAGCCGCGTTTTAAAACCATGAAGTTGATGACGATACGTAACAGACCAAAGAAGACAATATCTCCCTGAGTTAAACAACCGTGGCAAAACTAAGTTAAAGTTCGATAAAACTAATGTGGATTAAGCCGTATGACAAATTGATTGCATTCAAAGCTCAATTAGACTTTAAGAAAAAAGAATAAACGGTTAAAAATCGAAAAGGAGTATCAGGAACTTTAGGCAATCCTCGTCTATAATAAGTAAGATCGTGGGGGTCGTATTGAATACTAAATTTGCTACATTACTAACTTAGGTATTGAGTGTAATTATGGAAATAATTATTAATTAATGCATGTACGATCTTTATAATATAGTTTTGAGAAAGCATTAATGTAGATATTGGAGGTTAATTTAATTTAAATTTAGTTTAAATTTGATTTCTATATTTATAAATATCCTTTAGGCAGTATTATCTCAGGGATGTTTGACTCTGACCTTCTGATTTTGGACCTTTCTCTCTCTATCTCCTCCGCAGCCTTTGACCGTATCTCAGCCCTACATCTCTCTTTCCGTTCCTCCAATTTCTCACCTTCTTCTTCTTCATGCGTGAGCCATTGCGAATTTCATCTCCCAAATTTTCCGATTCATCGCCTTAATGGGAAATGTAACCGGCGGTGTGGCTGCGAAGTTTGCCTTCTTCCCACCGGAGCCTCCAACCTATGACGTTTACAGAGGGGACGATGGAAGGCTCGCCTTCTCCGGCGTGTCCGCCGATAGGAATATGGACGTCAATTTGCTTGATACCAAGGCCGGTAATAGGATCGTGGCCACCTTCTGGAAGTATCCTTTTGCTCGATTGACGCTTCTTTATTCCCATGGAAATGCCGCTGATCTTGGCCAGATGCACGAGCTCTTCGTTCAGCTCAGAGCTCACCTTCGCGTTAACATCATGAGGTGCCCTTCGCGTTAACATTTGATTGTTCTTTCCAATTTATTCTCTCTGGTTTTGTTTTGAACATCATTTCAATGATTCTTGTTCATCTTGTATCTGTTCTAATTCCTGCGGCTGTTCTGTTGTTTGGTTTGGTTTGTGTAATTTGAAATCTGCATTACTCGTTATTTGTTCTTCCTGGCCTCAATTTTGGTGCCAATGATTTCCCCATAAGAGCTTATGAATGTTAGCACCATTGTTTCTCTATTGGTCTAAGGGCTAGACTTTGTTTGATGATTGCAGTACGCCCATCATTTCATGTGTCTTTGTATTGTGAGTTAGATTCCAACCAAAAGGTCAAAAGAAGAGGGCCAAAACTGTTCCATCACTGTAGCGAAAATTCTGAAATCTTCAAAAGTTGCACTATATTCATTCTGTTTTGGCATGATCCTTGTAAAAAGTACATGTTCTTTAGAGAAAACTCTGGTGTTCAGCAAGCAAAAGGGGGGAATACTCCAATTGATTCAGCATGATAAATCACAAATGAGCAATGTATTAGGAAACTAAGCTCAAACTCTTGCCACCCTAATCAGAATCAAGAACTTGAATGTGAGGTCCACATCGGATGGAGAGAAAAACAAAGCATTCATGGTAAGAGGTGGAAACCTCTTCCTAGTTGACATGTTCTAAACTTTTGAGGAGAAGCCTAGAAGGGAAAGTACAATATTTGTTAGTGGTCAAATGGTATCCGAGCTAGACACTGGGCGGTGGGGCTCCAAGGGTGATGGATTGAGAGATCCACAGAGATCCCACATTGGTTAGAGAGAGGACCAAAACATTTCTTATAAGTGTGTGAGAACCTCTCTTTGGTAGACAAATCCTACATTGGTTGGAGAAAGGACCAAAATATTTCTTATATGGTTGTGAGAACATCTCCTTGGTGGACGTATTTTAAAATCTTGAGGGGAAACTTGAAACGGAAAGCCTAAAGACGTAACATCGGCTAACGATGGACTTAGAGCTTGGGCTATTACAAATGGTATTAGAGGCGGACATTGAGCGGTGTGCCAGCAAGGATGTTGGGCCCCAAAGGGGGTGGATTGTGAGATCCTACCTCGATTGGAGGAGAATGAAGCATTACTTACTTGGGTATAGAAATCTCTCCCTAGTGGATTGTGAGATCCTACATCGGTTGGAGGATAAAAATCTCTCTCTGGTGGGCCCGTTTTAAAATCTTGAAAGGAAGCTTAAAAGGGAAAGTCCAAAAAGGACAATATCTACTAGCGGTGAGTATGGGCTTGGGCTGCTACATCTGCCATTGTATTCCAAGGCATATTGCTGTTTTCATTTACAGAAGAGTTACCAAATAACATGTTTGTCCTGAATTTCAGCTACGACTATTCAGGATATGGAGCATCTACCGGTAAGGTAAGCAATTCTATTTCTTTGGTTAAAAGTGATGTTTCTATGGTTATATCCCAGCAGCCATCACTTCTACCAATAACATGTTTATGCCTATTTGTTTACTCATAAATGGTTCATCTCTCATTCTGCTAGCCATCTGAATTCAATACATATTACGACATAGAAGCTGTTTACAATTGCTTGAAGCGTGATTATGGGATCAAGCAAGAAGACATGATTCTATATGGGCAATCTGTGGGGAGTGGACCGACCCTTCACTTGGCATCTCGACTACAAAGATTAAGAGGCGTCGTTCTTCACAGCGCCATACTTTCAGGCATTCGAGTATTGTGTCCTGTCAAAATGACATTTTGGTTTGACATTTTCAAGGTGAGCTATGCTCCAATTGATTTATATACGTCCTCTTGATCCTTGTTTGTGTTTATACCAACAACTCTCAATGTCTAATCTTTTCAGAACATAGACAAGATAAGGCTGGTGAGCTGTCCCATTTTGGTTATGCATGTAAGACCATTTGTCCTCTCCCTTTTTAATGTTGTTGGGTGATACATGCCTGCTAAGTTTGATCGATGTGCAGGGAACAAATGATGATATTGTTGATTGGTCCCATGGAAAACGACTTTGGGAGCTTTCAAAGGAAAAGTACGATCCGTTATGGGTGAAAGGCGGGGGACATTGTAACCTCGAGACGTTCCCCGAGTATATTAAGCATTTGCGTAGGTTCATTAATGCAATGGAGAAGGTCCCAACTAAACAAACGATAAAACAACTCACTTCTACCCCGAGCATCACGGAGTCGAAACATAACAAGTGCTTGAGATTTAGAAAACGATAGTTTTGTGTTGTCGTGATTGAAGTAGAGACTGAATCAAAGATAATTTTGTTGTATCTGCTTCGCCTGTCTTCACGTCCAAAAGAGTTCAACAATCAACACGCTTGGTGTCACAGTCATGCTTGTGGTCGCATGTCGGATGTCCCAGTCATGCTTGTCCAGGACATATTATCCATGGTTGCATGCCCATTCAAAACCTCTTTTACTTGCTTTCATGTTAGATACACATTTATTATTCTTGTTATGTCAATATGGTGGTGTATAATTGGTCACCAAAATCATGTTAGACCAAAATGTCTCAAAATATAGTATACGGGATGTGACTAGTCGTCAATTCTTTCTACTCGAGTTATTTACAATCAAAGTCTTATTGTTGCTTATTCGCATTTAGTCTATAACATTCTTTTCTTTAATATTGTTTTCAACATATTTTTACGTTTGTATTTTCTAAAAGTTTTTTTTCAAACGTGATTTGAGACACAAGTATATGCCAATATTATCTATGAAGTCCGAATCTCATAAATGGGTCTCTTCCAGCCCATTTCAACAAAATGGAAGACTAAATAATTAATAATTTAAATTATAAATGTATTAGTCTATTTAATCATTAAAGTACTTAAACTTTAATATTTTTTTAAAAAAATCATGGATTTAATAGAAATAAAGTTAAAATTTTATAATTTTATCAAATGTAAATTAAATACCAATTTAAAAATTAAAAAAATGTTAAACATTAAAAAAAAAAAAAAAAAAAAACTCGCATAAATTCAAAATATTGAATAACTAAAAAATTGATTTAAAAATTAATTTCCTTTGACTAATGAATTGTGGGGACAGTACTGACAGTAGAAGAAGCAGCTTTAAATGAAAAATAAATAAAATAATAAATTCCATATTTTTATTTTATCCATTTTCAGCACAAATGTGTGGGCCCACCCTCAATCATTATCCCTCATTCTTCCCCTATGCCCTACCCTCAATAATCATTGTTATTTTATAAAATATATGAATTATTAAATGAATTATTTATATATATATTTATCTATATTTATGTTCAAGCTTTAAGTATGTTTTAAAATTTTAAAACTCAATTTATAATTAAAAAAATAATATTATTATCTAATAAAAAGAAAAAAAAAAAACAGTATTTATCACAAAACAAAGAAATTGTTTCTGGTCTCAATATAATTGGGATGGGACCCACATAGAATTAATGAAAACCAATAAGGGCGTACAACGTGGCAGTAGCTGACGTGTTTTCTCAGACCTCGTGGTTCTGTCCCGTTGTATACGTTTGTTACTTTTAGTTATAAACAAATTCATTTACCATAAACGAATTTTTGCCGCGTGATCGACACGCTCGAACTAATTTTCTTATTTCCATTAATTAAAATAATTTAATCACAAACGAACGCCATTTTCTAATTATATTTTTTTAAAAAAAAGTAAAATCCTCTAAGGAAACAAAATTCTTACTATATATTATTACTTGATAAATAAATTATTTTTTTTATATATGATAATTTAAATTCATTAATTAAATTATTAAATTTGAGGATATTACGAGAAGACAAAATTTTCAATAAAATTCCAATCTTGATCGAAATTTGGTTACGAAATTAGCTTTATTTTAAGTAATATAATCGCAGTTTATCAAAATAAGAAGAACAATTAAAAAAAGAATAACATTCCCTTTTAAAGTATCAATAATTACTAGATTCTAAACAGGATTTGAAAAAAAAATAATAATGAATTTGGATTAAATTCCTGTTAAATATTCTGCCAAAAATTAATTAATGAGAGATGAATTTCATAGCATAGTAACAGTAGAATTTGATTATCCAGAATAATCACATGGTGGATTAAAACCTGTGTGAGATCATCATACCATGATACAGTGGGATGATGTGGATCGTTGATTTGACTGACTTTTTCCGCGATGCATCAAGTTTGACTCCACTGCCAGAAACCCCCAAAGTTATTCCACTTTCTGTTCATACGGATGATGGAGGGAGAGAAAGTGGAAGAGGGTTTAACCTTAAAGCAATGATAATAAGACAATGGGCGAAAAGGGGAAAAGGGTTTGCTTAAAATACTCCACAGATTTCTGTTCTTTTGGAAATTGAATTCAATTTCTTTTTCTTCTTCTTTCCCTCTGTATTGGGTCATCGCTATCATTCGCCATTTCTGCAGCTTTGCTTTCAATCAATGTCTTCTCTAAGCCATTTGCTCATCTGGGTGTCTGAGAAAAACTGAAGGGGTAGTGGAAAACATTGAACCCACATCGAAAATTTCGTGTTTCTTTCTCTAAGCCACTTTTCTCTCCTTCCCCCATGACCGTGGAGAGTCATTCAGTTGATTCAGCCGGCGATGGTGGCGCCGCCGATCATTTTCCTGTTGGGATGCGGGTTCTGGCTGTCGATGATGATCCCATTTGTCTTAAAGTGCTCGAGCATCTCCTCCGGAAATGCCAATATCATGGTTTGTTTTTGCTCTCATTTCGTGTGTTTCTGTTTGGTTTGTTGACTAATATACATGAATGGTATGTTCTTGATCTGTGTTTTTGAGGATTTTGGGTACTGAAATGTTTGAAATATTTGAAATGGTGGGTTTGTTTGTTCTCTGTTCTTCCTGCAGTCACCACGACGAAGAGGTCCATTGAGGCTTTGAAGATGTTGAGAGAAAATAGAAACAAAGTGGACTTGGTTATCAGTGATGTGAACATGCCTGATATGGATGGGTTCAAGCTTCTTGAGTTGGTGGGGCTTGAGATGGACCTACCTGTGATCAGTAAGCTTTTATCTCATTGATCACAACAGCCTATGCCTCTACTTCATCTTGTCGTGTTTTGTTTAGGATCAGTTTGTTTTGTTTGCTGCTTTGTTCTTGATTAGCTGAAATTAATGTTGTCTCTTTATTGCTAGGATTCTAGAACAGCATTACTTGTCTTGTTCTTGACAGTAGTTGGTTTGGTTATTGACTTTTCTTCTTCCCTAGTGTTATCAGCACATAGTGATACTGAGCTTGTGATGAAGGGGATTGCGCACGGTGCGTGCGACTATCTGTTGAAACCAGTTCGAATCGAGGAGTTGAAGAACATTTGGCAGCACGTGATTCGGAGAAAGAAGCTCGAACCGAAGGCAAAAAACAAGTTCCCTAATCAAGATAACGTTGGAAATGGAGGAAGTGAAGGTGAACGAGGTTTCTCATCAACCAGTAATGCAGACAATGAAAAACTCAACAGGAAACGAAAGGAACAAGACGATGATGAGGATGAAGAAGGAAAAGAGAACGAGGTTGATATCGACGACCCATCGAACCTGAAGAGGCCTAGGGTAGTATGGTCAGTTGAGTTGCACCGGAAGTTCGTTTCAGCAGTTAATCAATTGGGTCTTGAAAGTAAGTGAGTACTAGAAGCTATGTTAGTAAATTTGTGTTTCGTTATATGTAACGATTTGATTCGCTCTTAACCAGAAGCCGTGCCGAAAAAAATTCTGGATCTGATGAATGTTGAAGGACTTACCAGAGAAAATGTGGCTAGTCATTTGCAGGCATGTGGCTATAGCATCTTTTTACTTGACTGATTTATGTTTCTGCAAAGATTCAACGAGAAAACGAGACGAAAATAAGAGCGTTTGTGTTGTATTTGCAGAAATATAGGCTTTACCTGAAAAGAATCAGCAATGTGGCATCTCAACAAGCTAACATGGCTGCTACATTTGGGAGTAAAGAAGGCACTTACATGCGCATAGGTTCATATGATGGCTATGGAGATATGCATGGCTTTGCAGGATCAGGGCGGCTTCCAAGCTCTTCTTTATCTTATTATTCACCTGTTGGAATGAGCCTGATCCAACAAAGCTCCCATAATTTGAACTGTGCTATCAGTAATCTTGGGCATCCAGCTATTATGTTGCCTCCTCACCAAACTACTAATCTATTGCAAGGGATTCCGACGTCACTCGAGCTCGGCCATTTGCAGCACAGCAAGTCCACCACTTCCATTGGAGAAGCTTTTGACATAGACTTCGGCTGTTCGAGTTTTTTGGATCCTGATCCTTCTAATGGTAACTGGCAGGGAGCAGCACAATTGTTGAGATTCTCAGCAACTTTGAACCCCATTGAGGAGTATCCCATTGATCACATGCATGCAATGAACTCGAGCATTTCCTCCGCCCCCTCAAAGAACAGGAACATCTCGGTTGTTGGATCAGTTTCAGCTCCCTTGCTGGATTCAAGAGACCTGCAGTGCCAGGCAGGGGTAGGGGTGGTTGACAGTATGCCAAAGCAGAGTTGGGAAGAGCACGAACACGATTACGCCCGATCCCCCTTAAGCCAGAGTTTCAATCAGAATAGTCTAGTTTGTGAGAGAAAGGTCGGTTCGTCTTTGATAGTCCCATCAAATGATGCTCAACTATCCTTCCCTCAGCACAGTGTGGTTGAAAAATTGGGTCCTAACACAAAGACGAATGCAGATAGAAACTTACACGATGGATCGATTCAAGGAAGTTTCGAGTCCTTGGATGATATAATGAACGCTATGATCAAACAGGTATAGTCAAATTTCTTGCTAAATATTTAGATACTGAATCTGACATAATTATGTAGACATTCCTTTCTTTTGAATGGTAATGCTATTACCATCTCTGTTATGTTTGTGTCAACTTGATACACATACAGGTTGTCTTACTGCTACCAAGTTTGCCAAACTTGTGATTTTTCTTTGTAATGATATGAAAAACTGCCATAATATTGTTCTTCGTTCTGGAATGGCTAAACGATTCCATGTAATCGAAATCTTACCTTGTGAAAGCTCCGATCAGTTTCAAGTCACTATATGAAGCCTAGTTGTCATAACATCCAAGCATTTAGACTTCTTTTGATCAAGATAACTTCTTGTTTGCTTCATAATCAGGTCAAGTTTCATGGGCCATTTGGTCGTAAAAGGCGTCGTCGATTTTTCGATTTTGGATTTGATAGTTTCTCTCTAGGATCATGTATTTAAGCTCTGTACCTGTTGATTGTTGGATGGAAACAGAGGCATTAATAGCAATACGGGTGATCTGAAAGCTGTTCGTGTACCATTATGTTCTTCGTCAGTTTGGTTTCTTGTTACGATGTTCCATCTTTGTCTGCTCATCCATTTACTGATGCAAAACATCTGGATAACGAAACAGCAGACTGCACCCTCCTTGTCCTTGTTCACAAGATAATGACAGGACAGCAGGTGTCACGATGGCTTTCGTGATGGCATTTGTGATTAATGGAAAAACGAACAAGGACACCAAAAATACCAAACGCAACCTTAGAGGTAAATACTCGAAAGTAATCTAAACCAATTATCTTAATCATTAACCAATTTGTCTTGAAATTTAAATATTATACATATAATATATATACATTCCCGGTCTCCATTTATCTTATGGGAATTATTTTTCTCCTCACTTTATTCAGTCTCTGGTAAAATGTCTAACCCCACCCGTAACCCACAGATAAAATACATTACATATTCCGTTTTAGGGATTGACGACTTACCCATTCAGTGACCTTGGCACTGGACGTTCCAAAACTGGAGTACTATCGGGTCAGGTAAATTCAATAAGAGATGCCAGTTGGCAATTCTCGGCCTTAGTGTCATTTCCATGGAGCGAATGGACATCCCTATTCGTTTTTGCCCTCAGTCTACAAGGATTATGGATTAGGTGCTCAAGTAATTATCACTAGTTGTGCTGCTTTACATAGTTTGAAAGTCATATTGCTCAATGGACATACAAAAAGAGCTCTTATTCTTCCTGTCATAGTCAAAGCCATAGGTCCTGAAAAGGAGAACCAGTGCGTTTTATAGATGCAGAAAGGTTTCCTTTTTCTGTTCTGTTCTGTTCTTCTCTTTTATGGTAGAGGGCGGATTAACGCCCTTATCCATTTTCCATTACCGAACAGAACAAGTTCCATCAAGAAGCTGTGGGGAAAATGCTAACAAAAAAAGTCTCAACAATTTGAAAAGCTCTACCACAGCTCAAAATTATTCTAAGAAGGCTGCTTCAACAGTTCTGTAATAATGTTGGGTCTAGAAACCACCCATCTGGAAGCTTCTACTTTCATCTCAGCCATTCGGCCACATGGGGTCCGCTGAAAAGACCTTATAGATAAGCATCCACACAAGTAGTCCTGTGTCTACAAATATGTTGTCCATAAACCAACATTTGTGTGTGTTGTTTCACATTTGAAACGATGGCAAAGAAAGAGATGGAAGTGGTTAAAGGGTTGGATCTTGAGAAGTACATGGGAAGATGGTATGAGATAGCTTCAATTCCATCGAGAAATCAACCAAAAAATGGTGTGAACACAAGGGCTACTTATACGCTCAAAGAAGATGGAACTGTGAAAGTGGTGAATGAAACTTGGAGCGATGGCAAGAAAAGTTGCATGGAAGGTGTGGCTTATAAGGCTGAGCCTTCAAGCGAGGAGGCCAAGTTCAAGGTCAAGTTCTATTTGCCTCCCTTCCTTCCAATCATTCCAGTTGTTGGGAATTACTGGGTTTTGTTTATTGATGGTGATTATCAGTATGTCCTGGTTGGGGAGCCTTCAAGGAAGAATCTTTGGGTATGTTTTCAAATTTCACTCTCTCATTCCAAAGTTTCATATTGTGAGTTTTGTATACTGATGGTGTTTTTTTGGTGTATTGTGCAGATATTGTGCAGAAATACTCATCTTAACGAGGAGATATACAATGAGCTGCTTGAAAAAGCCAAGGAAAAGGGTTATGATGTAAACAAACTGCACAAGACACCACAGAGCGATCCTCCACCAGAAGGTGAAGGTCCCAAAGATACAAAAGGCATATGGTGGATAAAGTCCATTCTTCTGGGAAAGTAAACAGATCACAGAAGCTTATGTTTATAACATCAGAACCCTATCTTGCTACTCTTCTCATCAGTTGTGTAAAATGTTGGCTTGTGAGTACATATTATGTGTGTACCTCGGTATGGTTGTGCTTTAAATCGCACTCACGGTTTACCGATCATAAGTACAACTTGTTAGTAAGATCCGAACTCGTCTAATAAAAATGTGATTGCAAGAGGTAACTCGATCGACATTTATCAGCATTGATTAACATCAAGAGGGATCAATAATGAACATTCCATTGAAAATGGAAACAAGCATATGTGAACCAACACCAATGAAGAAAATGAGACATCAATATGCTATACGAGTAGGATCTACGCCCAACATTTTGTTCCCCCATCTTTTAAACAACAAACGAGGATAAAATTCACAAGATTCAGTGAAACAAACAAATTGTAAAGGATATAATCATATTACAATCATCAATTATCTGGTTCAACTTTCTATGTGATGCCATCAAAAGCTTACAGTATGGTACAACACTGGTTGGTCTTTTTAGCTTGTTTGTAGAACATCTGTTCAATCACAATTGGGCTACAGTTAGGTAGGTTCTAAAGGAAATGGAAAAACGTCAGATGCTTCATGAATGTAGTTGTAACATTAGTTGAGAAGAATTCAAGAAAGTAACACCATCTCATGGACCAGAAATCTAACACATACTATTTTCTACTAGTTATGTACAATCGCATACCTGGGATGCTGCACTGAGATCAGAACTCTTCTCGACCAAACTGTCCAACTTTTCACCACGTTCAAGTACGCTGTCAATCGTCTTATGCTGTATTGGAAGATAGAAACATATCAGCATGTAAATTAATCAATCAGAAAACAGCAATGTAGCATACAACCCTGGAAGATATATATTAAAAGAACTTACAAGAATAATTTTGGTTTCGTCCAACTCCCGCTGTATTTTCAACAATTTATCAGCCTCTGCAGGGTCCTGGACAGTACATAATCGAAAATGTTATAATCACTGGTTGAGGTGGGGGAATGAAGCTGTAAATACGTTTCAAATTCGGTCATGCAATTATGTCTTAATTAAATGTAGAAAGGAGGGCAATAAACCTGGAATTTGGTTAAAGCTTCAGTCAAATAGGGCCATGGTTGAAAGTTATCTGCTTGTGCAGTTCTCCATGTTTCACCAAAATTTTTTTGGTACTCGTCCATAACCTGGTAGAAACCAACGTGCATCAACAATAGTTACAATCATACAGAGACAAATACAAAAACTACTTTGATAATATACATACATACATACATACATATATATATACACTAAAAAAAGGATAAAATTATAGATATGTATATGGCTTAGGACTAAGATTAGCTCAAGTCAATGACCTTCGGTTTATCCACATATCATAATAATTTGGCACTATAATCATTAAAAATTTATAATAAGAGAATAAAACTAATCTTCATACTGCAATATGATGCTGACATTACTTGAGCCTGATGCAGTATTGTTCCAGTGAAGTTATTTAATCAGAAATCACTAATCCGTCTATTAGTTTGTCTTTTTCTTAAGAAAAATAACTCGTCAATGCAAAATCCAACAAAGAAAGAGTTCTCTACAGCAATACATTTGTTAGACGTGAATAAGAGTGATTTTCACCTGGTTAAGCAGAGAGAATGCACTTCGAACCGGGTAGTGGTCATCCATAAATCCCAAAGCACAAAGACCATTTCTATTGTAACTATGCACCTTATACTCTACAAAATTTCAAACGATTCGTAGAAAATTCAATAACATAGAACACAAATAATAGCTGAAGCTGGACAGGTATTAAGTGGTAAACCAGCATTGCAGAACATCTTTAACAGTGACTTAAAGGTAGAAAAGAACATGAAAGAAAGACAATTTGTCCTATTGAACAAAATAAGAAAAAACAAACCATAAAACAAGTGTAAGAAATCAAAATCTTCTACGGAAACCTTACACTACAATTCAGATTTGAAATTGTTACAAATTCCTCTCCTATAAATGACCAGACTCAATAGATCCCCTATACAGATTCAGATTGAGTGAACCATATGCAATTAACTGCATAAAGACACTAACAGGGCAAACATGATTTCACAAGAACATTCAGCTGACTGTCGGCGCCCGCTTAAACCAAAAGTGGAAAGGGGATCATCATGGGGCATTTCTTGGTTTTATCGTCTCTTCGGGTATCATTTTGCCTCTTGTCACTTGAATTTCCACCACATCCTGTTCGTTTTCGCCTAAACTACAATCATACGTTCCCTCCAACTATTGGACTTTCTATCTTCCTATGATCTGATCAGCATACAAAATTCTGATTATGAGATTGATAAAAAAAAAAAGAAAAAAACAAGGAAAACCCCAAAATCAAAAGCAAAACTCCAATTACAGCAATTAAGCAAGAAAAAGAAAAAAATGCACAATCAGAAAGAAGAATCCCAACACAACAATGCAAGCATAAAGGCAGAAACATGACCGTAACAGAGAACTAACAAATAGAATAAAGAAAAAAAGAATAGACCTTCGTGCTGAACAGATTGACGCTGGTCAGGAGGGGTACGCTTAGCGACGGTCCGACCAACGAAGCAGATGAACTCCCTAACGCTGGGCCTCTGAAAGTAACCGAAATGACTCACATCAGCGGCGTTGGCCAATATAATCGGATCAGATCCTTCTGGGTGGCATTTCAAGACCAGCAACGCAGTGATCTTCATCTTCTTCACAAAACTCAACTCCCCCTTTCCCCTTCCCCTTCCCCTTCCCCTTCTCTCTTTCTCTCTCTAAAGGGATGAGAAATCGAAAGCAAACAAAGAATCTGTAAACGAAATTCGTAATTTGAGAAACGGGATCTTATGATTCTTATGCGTGGG